CTGTTGCTCTAACGAAGCATTTCACTTCATCACAAATATTTCATACATTCAACTCATCCTTCAAACACACTTCAACAGCACTCAACAAGTAATTTATTGTTTTCATATCAATGCGTTATACAACGACGAACAGATAAATATCTGCTGCACACAACTGAAGTATCGCAAAAAGTCTTCACAAATAATTGATGAGAAACGAACAGCAGCACATTCACAAGTATCATGCATTTACCTGCATCAACAAAGACACTTGTCTGATTGTATAGTGCAACTCGTAACAAAGTAATACTCAGCACTATATTTGATAATAGATTTAACAGAGTTGGCTGATCGTTACATTGCCCAGCAGGAATCGTCATGAAAGCAGTCGTCACTCACAGAAACTACAGTAACAATCCATAACGTAGGGAATTTGCAACGGGTGGATACGCACGAATTTGCAACAGACATTGTAAGCACGCACGTTTCGGTTGGCATTCCTTATCACATTGCTCATAAAAATTCACTGAATTTTCATATACAATCGAACAGTTGTTCGCTTTTACTGGGCATTATTTGAAGAATACAATTATCAGGACATTACTGACTTGTTGAATATGTTAAATCTGAAATAAAATAGTGAGGAGTTGTCCCGGACGCGAACCAACGCCATACTGATTGTGAGATCAGTACAGCAGTGATCTGATTCGCAGAAGATGTTTTGAGCCACAAATATCATGATTCTTGCAAATGCTCGAATGAACTGAAACGAACACTGAACAATACTGTTTTCCATTTCATTCGATGGCACCTCGATTGTTCCAGTACTGTCATATATCTATCTGCACAAGTGCAACATATCGCTGGTTCATGATTCACACTTCATTAACTGTCTGATTATGGAAACTCAACTGATCGTTTGCGGGCAGCAATGATCGTGTTTCAGCTTAAAAATGGAATCCTTTTAGAAAGCCAATTCATGATCTGCTAATGAAATAATGCAAAAATGCATGACACAGTCTAGCTTATCTTCATGAATGCAACCGCATCGAGCATTGAACACTGCGGATCTGTAAAATGTACAATGTTTATGATCTAGGCATTATAATGCAAAGCATAGCTAAATCTCTGTGCACGTAAANGACTGCTCAATGAAAACACTCACTCAAATAAGCTGTCGAATGCAAAAGGTAGTGTTAGTTCCATTTGTGCACCATGCAACCTACTTTGCTCAAAAAACTTCACCAACTAGTTGCAGCGAGCTGTCAGTTTGTTCGTTCCAAATGGAAAAATTCGGTAACTATAACAAAAATGACTGAATGAATGTTACAACTATTGTAAATGTGAAAAGGCGATATATAATAGAAGTGAATAACCAGTTCTATCATAAAAACTAAATATTATAAAACTTTTTCCTTTGCAATTATTGAGCAAGCAATATTTATGATCATTTTAATCAAACTGAACAAACGTGGTAATTCATCTTCACAAGAACTGATCAAAAGTTACGTAGCACTTATATCTGCAATTAGTTATTCCTCATTGCCAGTGATATTTACGAATATTGCACAAATGTTAATTCAAGCAGATTCTCCTGATTAGATGCGCAATATAACCAGCCCAACAGATTCTCCAGTGATTCGGCGATATTTATGTTCTTTTTTCAATCAAACTGGATTATGAAATGATTTGGTTTTGACACTAGTTGCATCGTAGGAAAGTAAATGATAAGCAGAAGAAGTATATGGAGAAATAGAAGGGGGTATTATTATTAAGTCTGATTTAGTTGTGATCTGAAGTGATCTGAACTGATACAACCAGATAACGACATATTTGTGTACTTGTGGTAGTTTATTGGCTAAATTCTCATTCGCTAAAAGTGTATATGGTGCGTGTTGTACGCGTGTTCGGTAATGCGATTAAAAGATGATTCTTCAATGATGTGTGCGTTATGCGTTCCATTAATTGGATAATTTGCAGCTAAGGAATGCAATTGAATCGAATCGAAATCGAAATGATCATTGCAACCACTTTTAGAAGGTCAAAATGTTTGAAGTGGAACGGAGAAGAGGAAAATTATAAAAATGCACAAGACTGCATCGCTACGGTATGACCGATCATCCACAAAAACTTCAGAAACAATTAAGTCTCCCGTTTTCGCTTTCATCACAACATCTTCAGCGCATATTTTCGTCTTTGAATGTGATTAATGTCTTCATTGAGTGTGTAATAAAATTTCCTTTTTTTTGTTTGTTTTTTCTCAAGTGACATATTGGGTGCATTAAGTGTAAAATTAATCGTGTACTCGATATTCAAAGAGACTGACGACAGACAGTAAAACTTGAAANAAATTGTAAATCGGAGAAAGTTACTGAAGAAAGAAACAAAATGGGTGTTTGTGTAAGTGATACCTTTGTGTCTTCTGCTCATTTCCTGGGATCGTATTCAACTTGGTTTTTTCCTTTCCTGGTTTTGTATTCAATTCTCGACAGGAAAGAGAGCAACAAAAGTCTCTTGCGTGCAGAAAGAACGTCTCTTATCTCGTCAAACATCCTAGTTTTCATCTTATTTTAATAATTATTCAGCAATAGTAATTCAACAACCACCATTATTACCAATGCCATTATCGTTACATCTCAACCTCGTCTTCAATTCGTCAGCAATTGCTGCTTGCCGTCTTTTGCACCCTGATACGAATAACACTTACAATTAGGAAATTTGAGAAGAATGATGTGTCTAAATCAACAGGTATGGCAATGCAGAATGCTGAACGCATAAAAGGTGCTTCATGCACACATCAGGATGTCATACGCACTCCGTGTGCTGACCATGATCGGTGAATGCTGTTTGCCACTCACTAGTTGTCACCAATCGACCGTACCTAATTCCTTTCCCCTCTCAGAACGTTGAGAAACAATTGGTGTGATAGTATTTTCTGCAATCATTTCGTCTACCGACAGAATCCTGGATCCTTTCAACTGTTTAGATTCTTCAAATTCATTTGTATCACACGTGATTCAAACCTCGTTGGAGTATTGGTTGGGGATTGGGGATTTTATGAGCAAAAAAAGAAGAACTATTACTGTCAGTTGTATTCGAGGAAAAAAGTTCAAAAGTTCTCTTTTTCATAGAAAGAATGTGAAATGCAACCTTGCTCAATGTTAGAACAACGA